CGAATACTGCTCTGTGCTGTTTTCTTGCAAGCTAGAAATGAAAAGACAAGCAGCTCTCCATCACTCTTCAAACAGTAAGACTATAACTGCAGCACTGATTCTCTGTTTAACTCGCATGTGAATCAGGATGAAGATGAGCTGGTCTCTCAGGATCTGTTCTGATGGATGGAGAGGTGAAATGCACACTCACACCTGTGCTTTCTGAGCACCATGGCATTTTATTTCATGTGCAAAGAGTGACGGCGCGGTTAACATCAGATATACCCGAGCTGTTGACATTGTGTCATTTTAGTCTTTGGGCTCAAATTAGAGTTTTGTGAGGAGAAATGCCAAAAACAATCAAATTAACTAATAATTAACCCTTTCTGCGGATATGCCAAACGCCAGTAAAATCATATTTGTCAATACAAAATAGTGTGTCAACCGGCTACATTTTAAATGCATGCGATTTGAACAGAAATAACTCTAGAAATGTATATGGAAGCCTGTGTGAGCGCTTTATATCGCTTTAAAAACACCGAATATTCATCACAATTCATCTTTGTTGGCAGTTTTAATGTGTGAAATAATGACAGATTTACGACGAATGCTGGGAAATGTGAGGAATATTTGACATTAATGCCTTGCTGTTGGTTTTGAATCCATTGATGCCAACGAGAGGTTATTATGAGGCCCACATGGAGCAACTCCAGCAGTTTCGGTAGAGTTAAAAAAAAAGCACAATACCATTCTTAACACAGCGTTTTCCTTAAGCGTGTATGTGTTTCGGGTTCTTCAGCATAAACGCAGCGAGTCCGACGGTTCAACTTTCCGGGAAAATGTGTGTAATGACCGAGAAAAAAGAGAGAAGAGAGCAGCTTAGTCTCGAGCACAAACGGGCTCGCTGGAGCTGATCTGGAAATCATTCGCAGATGGAGCTTCATTTTGCCACTCCAAATTCTATTGGCATTGAAACGATCACAAGCACACACACACACACACACTCACACACACACACACA